AAGGGGGCTGCGCTGGTCTCGTTGCAGTTGCGGATGGTGACCAGTAGGGGGCGCTGTGCTCAGTATCGGGGTTGTAGTTGTGGCTGTTGCCCACTAGGGGCGCTGTGTTCAGTGTAGGGGCTGCATTTGCGGATGGTGACCAGTAGGAGGCGCTGTGTTCAGAATAGGGGTTGTAGTTGTGGCTGTTGCCCACTAGGGGGAGCAGTGCTCTGTCAGCTTTAGGGGGATCTCGTTGCAATTGCAGCATCTCGGGTTTGGGGGTCCTGTTGCAGTTGCAGATGGTGAGCAGTAGGGGGCGCCAGCAAATGCGCCATCACCGGTTGGTGGTGACCCCAAACGGGGGAAATTGGGGCGGGGGTCCCTATTGGGGGGGGGTCTCCACAAAGGGGGCTGCGCTGGTCTCGTTGCAGTTGCGGATGGTGACCAGTAGGGGGCGCTGTGCTCAGTATAGGGGTTGCAGTTGTGGCTGTTGGCCGCTAGGGGGCGCTGCGCTGTGTAGGCTTTAGGGGGATTTCGCTGCAATTGCAGCCGCCCACCAGTAGGTGGCGCTGCGATCTCGGGTTTGGGGGTCTTGTTGCAATTGTAGACGGTGACCACTAGGAAGCGCCGTCACCGGCGAACGAAGGAAAACTGGGGGGCTCGGGGGTCCCCAGGGGGGTCTCGTTGTATTTGCAGAGGTTAACCATTAGGGGGCGCCGTGCTGCACATGGTGATTGCAGTTGCGGCAGTGCACCATGAGGGGGCGGTACGGTCAACGGGGGGGGCTTTTTGGGGAGGGGGTCCCGGAGGACCTTGCGGGTCTCGCTGCAATTGCTCGCTGCACTCAGCCACCGGGGGGCGCTGCGCTACGTGGAATTTCGATAGGCTCTCACTGCAATGGCGGATGTTGGCCACCGGGGGGCGCTGCGCTACGTGGAATTTCAATAGGCTCTCGCTGCAATGGCGGCTGCCCACCGCTAGGCGGCGCTGTGCCACGTAGAACTTTAGCGGGGCTCACGCTGCAGTGGCGGCTGTTGGCCACCGGGGGGCGCTGCGCTCTATTGGTTTGATACCTTTATAGGGTTGGGAGGGAGGGGGGTTTGGGGTTTTGGGGTGGGTGGGGGGGCTTTTGGGGTCTGCGTGTCTCACCGGATTTCTCGCTTCTCTGCCCACCCCACACCCCACACCCCGCACCCCCCCCCCCACCCCACTGCGCCCCACTTTGCCCCACGCGCTGTTATAGTCTCCATCGGAGGTCACGGCTTAGGTAAGCGCACGGCACGGCTGCTGCATGCACCCCAAAACCCCACCCCAAAACCCCACCCCACCGCGGGACCCCCCCCAAAATAACCTCAACACCCCCCCCACACACACAGCTCCACCCCCCGATCCCCCAGGACCCCCACCCCCCAATCCTGGAGGTGCCCCATTGGGGGGCGGTTTTGGGGGTCCCCGTTTGGTCTCATTGTGGTGGGGGGGGGATTTGGGGTCTCCCCCCAATTGGGGTGGAATTTGGGGGTCCCCATTTGGTCTCATTACAAGGGGGGGGTTTGGGATCCCCTCCAATTGGGGTGGAATTTGGGGGTCCCCCCACTGACCCCAATTGGGGGTGATTTGGGGGTCCCCGTTTGGTCTCATTTAAGGGGGGGGGTTTGGGGTCTCCCCCCAATTGGGGTGGAATTTGGGGGTCCCCCCACTGACCCCAATTGGGGGTGATTTGGGGGTCCCCATTTGGTCTCATTGCAGGGGGGGAATTTGGGGTCCCCCAATGGCCCCAATTGGGGTGGAATTTTGGGGGTCCCCCACTGATTCCAATGGGGGTTGATTTGGGGTCCCCCATTTGCTCCCATTGGGGTTGGATTTGGGGGTCCCCCACTTGCACTTTTGGGGGGCAGTTTTGGGGTCCCACGTTCACCCCCAGCAGGGGTCTCCCATTCATTCCTATTGGGGTCATCCTGGGGGTCCCCCATTGACGCCCATTGGGGCCGGATTTGGGGTCCCCCATTGATTCCTATCAGGGGTCCTACTGGGGGTCCCCCATCCACTCCCATTGGGGGGTCCCTCATCCAATCCCGTTGGGGGTCCGATTTGAGGTCCCCTATTCACTCCTATTAGGGGTCCTACTGGGGTCTCCCATTGACTCCCATTGGGTTCATCCTGGGGGTCTCCCATTGACTCCCATTGGGGTCAGATTTGGGGTCCCCCATTGACTTTTATTAGGGGTCCTATTGGGGGTCCCCTTTCCACTCCCATTGGGGGTCCTACTGGAGGTCCCCTATCCACTCCCATTGGGTTTTCTAGTGGGGGTCCCCCATTGCCTCCCATTGGGGGTCCTGCTGGGGGTCCCCCATCCACTCCCATTGGGGTCAGATTTGGGGTCCCCCATTGATTCCTATTGGGGGTCCCCCATCCACTCCCATTGGGGGTCCTACTGGGGGTCTCCCATCCACTCCCATTGGGGGGTCCCCCATTGCCTCCCATTGGGGGGTCTTACTGGTGGTCTCCCATTGACTCCCATTCGGGGGTCTTACTGGGGGTCCCCCATCCACTCCCATTGGGGGTCTCCTGTTGCCTCCCATTGGGGGTCCTACTGGGGGTCCCCCATCCACTCCTATTAGGGGTCCTACTGGGGGTCCCCCATTGCCTCCCATTGGGGGTCCTACTGGGGGTCCCCCATTATCCCCCACTGGGGGGGTCTCCCATCCACTCCCATTGGGGGGTCCCCCATTGACTCCCATTGGGGGGTCCCCCATTGCCTCCCATTGGGGGTCCTCCTGGGGGTCTCCCATTGACTCCCACTGGGGGGTCTCCCATTGCCTCCCATTGGGGGGTCCTACTGGGGGTCCCCCATCCACTCCTATTAGGGGTCCTACTGGGGGTCTCCCATTGAGTCCCACTGGGGGTCCCCATCCACTCCCATTGGGGGTCCTGCTGGAGATCCCCCATTATCCCCCACTGGGGGGGTCCCCCATCGCCTCCCACCAGGGGTTTCCCACTGGGGGGGGATCTCCCCCCCACCCACCCCTCCCCCTTCCCCGCTGCCCCCCTCACTGACCCCCCCGTTGTGGGGCAGGCCCGGGGCTGGGCCCCACCATCCAGCTGGGGGAGCAGACGCTGCTGACGGTGGACGCCAAGGCCGCGGGGCCGGGCAAGGTGACGTGTGCCGTGCGGGCGCCCGACGGCGCCGAGGCCGACGTGGACGTGGTGGAAAACGCCGACGGGACCTTCGACATCTTTTACACCGCCCCCCAGCCAGGGAAGTACATCATCTGCGTGCGCTTCGGGGGGGAGCACGTCCCCAACAGCCCCTTCCAGGTCATGGTGA